CCTCAGTCTGCATTCAGCCTCGGCCTCAGCCTCAGCCTGCCTCAGCCTCAGCCTGCATCAGCCTCAGCCTTAGCCTCAGCCTCAGCCTCAGCCTGCCTCATCATCAGCCTGCCTCAGCCTCAGCCTCAGCCTCAGCCTGCCTCAGCCTCAGCCTCAGCCTGCTTCAGCTTCAGCCTCAGTCTGCCTTCAGCCTCGGCCTCAGCCTCAGCCTGCCTCAGCCTCAGCCTGCATCAGCCTCAGCCTGAGTCTGCCTTCAGCCTCGGCCTCAGCCTCAGCCTGCCTCGGCCTCAGCGTGCCTCAGCCTCAGCCTCAGCCTGCCTCAGCATTCAAAATGTGGCCCGGGAATGGAGTTCTGGGAACTCGAAGAGCACGAAAAGGCCTACTTTTGGCTCCGGGCGTTCAAAATCATGCCCAGGAACGGAATTATGGGAACTCGAAAACCACAAAATGGCCTACAGTTGGCTCCGAGCATTCAAAATCATGCCCAGGAATGGAGTTCTGGGAATTCGAAGACCACGAAGTGGCCTATAGTTGGCTCCAGGAATTCAAAATCATGCCCAGGAATGGAGTTCTGGGACCTCGAAGACCACGAAGTGCGTAACTGTTTGCTTAAAACGACTTCCGCGGATCCCTGTCCGGATCCCGCCCAGACCCCCCTCGGGAATCATGATGCTCTCTTTTGAACACTACTAGAAACCTATCAGTCTTCGCTGTTAGGTAAAAATGTGTATTAGAATGGCCTTTTTTCGGCGCCGCCTCGGAACTCGATTTTCCGGCGCCGGCCGGAACCGGCTCCAGACCCGGCCCGAGCGCCGGCCTGGGCGCCGGCTCGGGCGTGCAGCCCGGGCGCCGGCGGAAATGATGCCAGCGCTGCAGCGGGAGCACGATTCGGAACGAGCGGGGCCCTAAAATGAGGCCGGCGCCTCAGCGAGAGCAGCATTTTAGAAACAAATGCAAGCGAAAACCCAACTCCGGGGAAACCTGCATGTAAAAAAAAACAGTACGCGGGGGGGGGGGGGGGGCGAACATTCCCAAGACGTCATCAGGGGAAGAGGGAGAGTAGTATTCATATCGAATAACTGTGGAGGAGGAGGAGGAGGAGGAGGAGGAGGAGGAGCAGGAGGAGGAGGAGCAGGAGCACCACCCACGAAAGCGAGCCCCAACCTCCCCGCCTACAGCACCGCTCGCAATCGCGGGGCGCGCCTGATGGACTGACGAAGCCGCCCATGCAAGAGGCGTCGCGTCCGCGCGGCAACCGGGGCAGCACCAGAAGCACGAAGAGTCTGGAAAACAGAATCGACTCAGTCCCAAGCGATGCAATGAGAAGCAAGGATCGAACGAGACATGGGGATGAGACAGGGGAAGAAGGAGGCGACAGACCCAAATATCCAAGCACTGGGACAACGAAGAAGAACTTCTAGCAGGCATAGAGACAAAATAGGACACGAGCAATGAGAAAGTGGACAGTCTCCGCTCACTGCCTCGCAGTCAAATCGACAACCAACCGCGCCTTGCCAGCGATGAAGCGTCGTGTTCCAGCTGCTACACAAGGATTTCAGCATCGCCACTCCCATACAGGCTGGGATCTTTCTCTGCCGCCGAGTTCATGGCCGAGAAACATCTGCCCATGTCGGATAAGGTGGATCCAGGAACCACTTCCGATACCTGGGGGGGAGGACGAGCGAGGGAGAACCTGGAGACATCTCACGCTGAAGCAATCGAAATATCGCTGCTTGGAAACGCCTGACAAGGATGCCATCTTCGAGTGCTGCGGGGATCCTCGAAACACGCTGAGCTCCAGCAACAGGCAAAAGATCGAGGCTCTCTCGACCGCCGAATATCTGAAGGTGACCATATAACCATCAGCGTCCCAAATACCATGGAACGAGTTTTTCATGTCCTGAAAGCCCTGAGGGTAAGACGACGCGAATCATGGAGGCCCTTGAGACGGCAGAAATATGAATACAAATACGTTCAAGACCCACGTCCTTGAGACAGAAAAAAAAAGACGAGGTACACTATGCCGAGGTGCTGGCGCAAAGCCGCGGTGGCACTCTTCCTGGACATGTAGCGCGTGACGAGTAGGACAATGTAGTTGACCATCATAAGAGCACGCAGGTGCCGCGTATCTTTCGCGTGCGAACATGCTGGGTACAAGGCCCACCCAATGCGCTCGATCCCTCCCGCGCGCAAGTATATCTTAGCTACACGAGGTCTCCAGGACAGAAGGCCGATCATAATTCCAAGGTGTTTGGCCGCGGCTACACTCTTACACCTGGAGGCGTCATACTTGCATGACTTAAAGCAACGCCCTGCTAGAATGTAAGCGCTCAAGATCCAGGGCCAGGACCAAGCACTTCTGCACATTCAACGACAAGCCCGTAGAGTACCCAGCAAGACAGATGATCTCAGCAATGACTGGCAAAGCCTGAAAGCCATAGAGGCCATGGCAAGACCGTCGGCGCACGCCGACAACGAGACAGTATCGCCAAAGAGCGCCGCTGGAGGCGAAGGAAAACAGATGCAGGGCAAGCGAGAACAGCACGCCCGAGAGTGGACACCCCTGCATTATGCCACGAGCAACTGTGATAAAGTATTGGCGAGAGCCGTGGAAGGATAGAACGTACTGAACGTTAGCGTAGAAAGCACTTTTTGCATTGATGATACACTGTGGGAATCAAAAAGTCACCAGCACAGCAAATTTCCAGGGTTGGAGGAGACTGGGAATAGCAGCGCGTAGATAAAAAACGCGGCCCCTGTGTCCCTATACCCCCTCTTGTCGCACCGAGAAGCTTAGCATCTATCCCGGTTAATTTTTCCAGCGGGCGCCGGCCACGAACCAAACCACGAATGGCAGGATCCGCCCGCTCTTCTGCTACACGGATGATCGGTTCCGCGATAAGGGTTGTCAAGATCCTCCTATCTGTGTTGGAAATAGGTCGAGTCTGCGAGGGGTCCTTCTATGCCGAAACGTTTTCCTCCACGTCGCCTGTCGGTAGCAAAACCATGCACAGGCGTTGAAAACCTTCAGCCGCCTAACCGCCACGGAGGATACACTTGCAGTGGGCAGAGAGCACCTGCTGCACCCATCGCCAGCGATCCACCAACGAACGGACGCTCATCTGGACCAGGCGTGGAGTCCCGTCTGGACTTCAAGAGGCCTCTTAATTGCTCCCAAATGGCCTCCCAGGAGAACCCCTGGTGCGTAGCATTGACACATTGGTAATCATAAATATAAGCTCAATGGGACCCAGGAGATCCACCCCCTTCGACGAGTCCACCTCCCCACCTTTGAAGATCTTGCACCAGCAATCAGAGAGCAGCTTGGCACCCACGTCGGGGTCGAAGTGAGAGCATCCTCGAGGATCCAGGCAGTTTTCAAGCAGATACGCTTGCAAGTATGCGCCCAAGTCTGCGAGTCTCTTTGCTTCGTTGAATGTGATCATCTCGATGAGGTAAGATCCCATTCTTGCTTAGCTCAGCTTTTTCAGTTCTACGAGACTCTGGCATCAGCTGGTCAACATGCGCACGTATCGCCTCCCAGTTCGTCCACTGTAGGAGTTCGACGTCTACACCATCAGCAAGAACTGGATAAGCTCGAAGAGCCTGACGAGCAGCTGCATTTAAACCACCGCGTCGACATAGGGTGAGCGTCAACCAGCACGCAACCCCTTCGGGAGTCTCAGTCGCCTGTGTTTAGCACCTGTTTTTTTTTATCTGAGCAACCGAAGCGTGCAGGAGGTCTTTGACTTGATGTAAACGGTCATTGTGATCATCGCGAACTTGATTTCCTTCACGCAGGGCATCAACAAAAAATGGACACTCAGCACGCTTGCACACCCCTGTCGGAATAGAAGGCGGTCCTGTGGGAGTCCACGGCTGGATGGCAACAAATACTGGCACATGGTCACTCACATTCATGTCTACTACGTCCCACACGGTTCCGCTGGCCAGCGAGAAGTCTAGAAGGTCGGAGGGGGGAAGATTAGAGTAGATTATGCCAAAACGCGCGTAGGCAAGATGATCAGAGTGAGGAGTACGATGGGGAAAATGAGGTTAAAAGAGCTCCGTAAAACTCGGGAACGTTCGCTGAAAAACACTAGCCAACCCATGAGCAGGCACACTCTCCAAACAAGCAAACTGAAAATATCTAGACTCCCCCATTGAAATCGCCAAAGAAAAACGCACTGGTGGTTTGCCGAGGCTCAAGATGGCGAGATTTACGCTGGAACTGCATCCTCACAGCAACCTCCGATGACGATAGAGATGAGGAGGGGGACGAGGAGGAGAAGAAGGAAAAGGAGGGAGAGGGAGGGGAGGGCGAGAGGAAGGAGACAAACATTGGGAGGGGGGTTGGAAGAGGGATACTCTACTTAACCTGCTGCCTTTCCAGTTTTCGAGGTCTCACCTGGCTATTTTGCCCAACCTTCGACGGGAACCAGCATCGTCGTCGACTTCCTCGTCCTCGTCATTATCCCCTTCTACCCTTCCTCCTCATCCTCCTATTCTTATTTCTCCTCCTCAAGTCTTCCCCCGCCCCCCACCCTCATCCGTCTCCCCCTCCTGCTCCTCCTGCTCCTGCTCCTCCTCCTCCTCCTCCTCCTCCTCCTCCTCCTTCTCCTCCTCCTCCTCCTCCTCCTCCTCCTCCTCCTCCCCCTCTTCCTCCTCCAACTCCTTATTCCTTTTTCGTTTTGTTCCTCCAACTCCTTATTCCCATCCGCCACCATCCACCACATCCTCCCCAGTACTCCCCGTCCCCTCCTGCACTTCCTCCTGGTCTGCATATTCTACTCAGCCTCCTCTTCATCCTCCTCCTCCTCCTCCTCCCTCCTCCTCCTCCTCCTCCTCCTCTCCTCCTCCGTCCTCCGCCTCCTCCTCGTCCTCCGCCTCCTCCTCCTCTCCTCCTCCTCCTCCTCCTCCTCCTCCCCTCCTCCTCCTCGTCCCCCTCCCCCTCCCCCTCCCCCTCCTCCTCCTCCTCCTCCTCCTCACCCCCCTCCCACCTCGAAGGAGACCTCGGTCGAGGTGCCCTGCAGCGGGTGCCCAGGCTCATTCCAATTATCCGAGTTGCGGTAGGCGAACCAGACCTCCCCCGTCGTGCCCGCCGCTATGGCATGCCAGAACTGCGAGCGGAAGACCTGGCGGGTGATCACGGCATTGTCCTCGTCCGTGGTCCACGCGCGCCCGCACGTGATGTAGGGCATGAACTGAGTGGGCCATCTGTTGAACATGGACATCACATTGTAGGGGCCATCAGAGTACGCCTCGTACGTTTCCAGCATAATGATGTCTGCTCCATCCACATACTTCTTCGCGTAGATGTTGCCAGGGCCGGTGATAGCGATGCTGACGAGGTGGTAGGGATCCCAGTCCTTGAGCTGTTTGTAGAGATCCGGGAGCCCTGGGCCCGACGCGTCGTCGGCGACGTACCACGAAAGGACTGCTGGGTGGTCCTTCATTGTGAAGATCGCCTCTTTCAGGTGGGTGTAGTCTGCACCGTACATGCGGTTCGTGATGGGATCGCAAAGATCGACAAGGTACACGTGCACCTTGATGCCGAGTGCGTTTGCGGCATCCAGCACCTTCATGGAGTCGCTGAGCGGCAGCGTGCCTCCGCGATCCTTGAACCGCGGCACCAAAGAGTGAGCGACGAGGTTGTAGATGACCACGGAGTTTGCACCACGGCGCGACATGTCGCGAAGGCTCTCTATGGTCGCCTCCACGCCGTAGAAGAGGTACATGCTGAACCTGAAGGAACCAAAAGATACCGAGAACGCTATTCCCTGGACCTCTCCCGGGATGCGTTCTGGCCCGATTGTCGAGGCGAATCCAGCGGTGGCGACAAGGTCCTCCCAGGAGGCCAAAGAAGGCGAAAAGGAGGGAAGGGGAGCGGTATCGATACCTTTCCCTTTTCCGAGAGCCAGGCCAGCGAGAAGAAGGGGCGGCCGTCCACAATGAGCGTCCGGCGTTTGTGGTCAACGGCTGCTCCGCCGCGCTTGTGCTCGGGCACGCGGATGAGGCGAGCCTTCTGCGTGGCCACGGTGCGCGATTCGGCCCCCTCCCCGCAGGTGCGCAGCGTGACGTCCACCTGGGCGTCCAGCTTCGCGGGCAGCTGCCTGAAGTCGACCTTCAGCACCGTGTTGCCATTGCCGGGCACGTCGTGGGCCTCGAGGATGACGGGAACGTCCCGGCCTCCCGAAGAGGCGTCGTCGAGGCGCGCGTGCACCTCGTAGCAGCCGCCCCTGCCCCGCGAGACGTTGGTACGTACGAGCAGCTCGCCCTCGTCCACCGCGTAGTACGGGTGGCGGTCGAAGGACACCGCCAGCTCGGTCGCGAACCACAGGCTGACTTTCGGAGAGATCAGCTCCTCCAGGCGAAGCCAGGACGAGGATAAAATCGGGTGAGGAGAAGCCGAGAATCTCTGAGATCCGGCGGCTCTGGAGGATGTATCGGGCGCCGCGGCCTCCTCAGAACGTTCCAGAACGCTCTGAGAGCGCTCCAGAACGCTCTGGAACGCAGTTGCCCTCGTCCTAACCCCGTCCGACTCCTGTCCGGCCGCCGTCGCCACCACCTGCACGTCGACGGGGCCCTCGGCCGTCATCACAGGGAGGTCGCACCTCACCTTCCGGCCGCCCGAGATCGACCCCGAGAGGCTGCCGTACCTGTCGCTGGAGGGCCCGTCCCACGCCTGCGAGAGCAGGCAGGTCACGTTGGCGCCGGCGGGCAGCGGCGCCCCCAGAAGCAGGCCCACCTCGGGGAAGGGCAGCAGCACGGGCAGAAACTTTCGGAGGTCCGCGCGGGTCTCCTGGATCTGCGCTGGACCCCCCTCCCGGGCGCGCGGAGGGCGGCAGGGGGGCCCGGCGCCGGTTCAAGAAACACGCGGGGAGCTCCGAAAGTTCATGTTTGTGACGCGTATTAAAACTAGTATTACTATCATTATTGATCGTATTATAAGCAATACTAACATGCATGATTATATGACTACTCATAACATTAATGTATAGTAATATTAATTCGCCGGCCCAACGGACCAGAGGCGTGCTAAGATCTCCTGGAACTGGTTAACAATATTTCTAGCCCGCGCGCGCGGGGCGGCCCCTGGGGGTCCCCGGACGAAAAGTACCCTGGCAAGGTCCCGGGCGGTCCGAATCAGAGATGGTTTTCCTCCTGGGCGCTGCCCTCGAGGCCCTCCAGAGAGCCCCAAGAAGGGCCGCGAGGCCGCCAAGAGCCCCCAAGAGGGTTCAAGAGTGCTCCGAGATACCACACGCACGCTTCAAGACGCCCAAGACGGCTCCCAGACGCCCCAACAGGCCCCCAAGAGGCGTCCCAAGAAGGCCCCCAGAGGCAAAAAGCCCATTCCCTAATGCATATTCGCCACTTGAGCTTTCACAACGTCAAAAGCGGCCCAAGAGGCCCCAAAGATCGCCCCAAGCCTGCCCAAGAGGCCCCCAAGAGGGCCCAAAAACCGCCCCAGAGGGCCCCAAGACGACCCAAGAGGCCTCCAAGACAGCCCAAGAGGCCCCCAAGACGGCTCCAAGAGGGGGGTCCAGACGGGAGACCCGCACGGATATTTCGAGCCCTCAGCCCCGAGAGGCCCCCAAGAGCGCCCAAGAGGCCCCCGAAAAGTTCCCAAGAGGCCCCGAGAGGCCCCCAAGAGGCCCTAAGATGCTCCCACGAGGCCCTCAGGAGGCCCCCATAAGGCCCCCAAGCGGCCCCAGGAGGCCCCCCAAATGCCCCCCCAAGCACGCAAGCAAATGCCAGCGACGCTACAAGATGGGCCGGCGGAATGAGCGAAGCGATCCGCCGCTCCACCGGGTACGGCGTGCGAGACGCCCACGCAAGATCTCCAAGAATTCTGTCCCCTGAGTCACCTGCCCACGCACGCCTCGTACCCCTGCCCTTCCCCAGAGCTCTCGCAACCCCTCCTGGGGTCCTCCCCGTGGCCCGCACATTCCGCCAGCCCAGAGGCCCTGGCTGCGGAACGGACGCTTTCTGGCCGCCACTTCCGTCCCAAAACCGCTTCTTTTTCACGTGCTACGCTTCCGGGCGCCGCCGCGTCCTATCAGAGACCGTTCCTGGAGCCCAGCGGGCCGGCTTTGGGAGCCTCCTGGGGCCCTCCTGGGCTGATCTTCATCGTCTTTCAGGCCGCTTTCGGCCGTTCCAGATGCCTTCCCACCTCTGTTCCAGTCACATACACCAGAAAACTCAAACAAGCAATAAATATCGTAAAGCACGTAAGATTATTACGATTCTGGACTTCTCGGCGTTCTCCTTGCGCCTCTCTTGGAGCTCCCGTGCACCTCTGCGGGCTCTTGCGGCCATCTTGGAAGCTGCGGATGCTCCCTCTGACCGTCCTGACAGACTCTCGGACCCTGGCCGCATGTTTGGCGCCCTCTTGAGCCGTCTTGGGCGCGCTCAGGGGGTCCCTGGAGAGCTTTCTGAAGCCCCACAACTAACTCGGACCGCTTTGTTTACCTCTCCGTATCCCTCTTCCATTTCGGCCGCCGTTTCCGACAATTTAGGGTGCCCTTTTGGGCTGTTTTCGGAGCCTCTTGGAGCCCTCTACGGCTGTTTTTCTATTCTTTTGGGGCTCTCTGACGCCGACTGATCCGCCTCAAAAGTCACTGGACAGCACATCTCGCTTCCGTTTACTTGCATCGTCCACCGACCTCCCCTCGCGAGAAGTCCAGAAACGTGCGAGGTACACGGGAACAGATTTCCCCGTCTGAGGGCCCAACACTGGCTTATGTGTGCTTCTGTCTGCGTTTGCGCATGCCACCGCAGTGTCGCCCCCAGACTTCGACACGCGTGGTGCAATGTCATGCCGTCTTCAGAGCCTCTTGCCGCCCTCGTTGCGCCGCCCTCCAAGTCTTTTTGGACCCTCTGGGATCGCCATCGACACCCCCGCAGAGAAACTCTGGGTTCCCAAAAAAGTGGGGCGGCGGTGTCTGCCCCCTCAGGGGCGTTCAATTGAATGATAATTATTGTGATTGCTAGTACTATGAACAGTATTAGTATTGGTATTAGTCGTATTATCGAAATTAGCAATAGTAACATTAGTATTACCATGAATGTTAATATTAGTAATAATAGTAGTAGTAGTAGTAGTAGTAGTAGTAGTAGTAGTAGTAGTAGTAGTAGTAGTAGTAGTAGTAGTAGTAGTAGTAGTAGTAGTAGTAGTAGTAGTAGTAGTAGTAGTAGTAGTAGTAGTAGTAGTAGTAGTAGTAGTAGTAGTAGTAATGCTAATGTCATTGATATTATGATTAGTTACAAAAGCAGCATTACTCGTCTTCTCCATCATCACTAATATTAGCATGACTTATATGTTTAAGGTGTTTAATCCTTTCGTATCTATAACAATACTAACAGTACCAACAATGATAATAATAATGATAGTGATAATGATAACCAACAATAATAATAACAGCAATAACCATAATAGCAATACAAATGCAAAATAATAATAACAATACTACTAATAGTAATAATAATAACCATAATACCCCTAACAATAATAATAGTAATAATAATAATCGTGTAATGAGTGTTGCTAGTAGTATTGCTGTTGGTGTTGTTGTTGCTGCTGTTGTTGGTGGTGTTGCTGCTAATGCTGTTGTTTTTGTTTGTTGTTATTGCTATTGTTGTTGTTTTTCGTCGACCACCTGCTGGCTGTGCGTGTGAGTGGCCAGAGCGCTGCCAGCCACCAGGGAGGCCGCCAGCGCCGAGGTCTGGGAGCTGCCCGCGCGCCGATGCCCCGAGTCCGCGCCGGCCGAGTACAGGCTGCCGCGCGCATCCGTCCCCTCCGAGCCCAGCGTGAGCGGCTCCCCGGGCTGTACTGCCCAGGGTATGCGCCGGGCGGGGCCGTCCACCACGGGGCCGTTGCCGACGCTGAGGCCGAGGGCCAGGCGGCAGAGGGAGAGCAGACCCAGGGTCGCGGCCGGGCCGCCGGGCCACGTGGTCATGACATCCACGGCCGTGCTTCTGCCGGTGTACGGTACGTATGCACTTCTAGATTCAGAGCGCCGCCAGGCGCTCGAGCCAAGAGGAGGAGGAGGAGGAGGAGGAGGAGGAGGAGGAGGAGGAGGAGGAGGAGGAGGGGGAGGGGGAGGAGGGGGGGGAGGAGGGGGAGGAGGAAGAGGAGGAGGAGGAGGAGGAGGAGGCGGAGGAGGAAGGGGAGGAGGAAGTAGGGCACGAAGCTCGGCGGAGCGGTGGAAGAGGAGGAGGAGGGGGAGGAGGAGGAGGAGGAGGAGGAGGATGAGGAGGAGGAGGAAAAGGTGGGGGGCCAGGTTAAACACAGGAGGCATCAACGATGCTGCAGTACACCATCCCGCCCCAAGTCTCCTTGGCGCACGTCCCTGCACGCGCTTCTTTCCACGACACGGATCACCCACCTGAAGGAAAAGCGCCCCATGAGCCTGCCAGGCAGGCGATAGCCGCGTCTGAAAAAAGGAGCGCCCTCCGTAGTCGCCGCTAGCAGGAATGTCATCGTGTAGGATCATAAAAGAAATGATCCTGGCGAAGGACCCAACCGTATGCAGTTGTTCGTACCGTCGTTGTGGGTATCGCCTTCGGTGGATCGCCTCACGGGGCCACGAAACGTGCAAGGGGTGTGCCGAAATGGGGCGCTGCGTCTGGGGCCTGAGGTAGAGCCCCCTGTATGGGGCCACAAAACGTGCGAGCGGTGTGCCGAAACGGGGCAGAGCTGCCATACGGGCGCTGCCACTCGCGCCTTCAGTGGAGTTCCCTATTGGGCCACGAAACGTGCGAGGTCTGTGCCGAAATGGGCGGCCGGGAGGCATGCGAACTGCGCCACTGGGACCTTAGGTAGAGCTCCCTACGGGACCAAGAAACGCGAGCGGTGTGCCGAAATGGGCGGCAGGGACGCATGCCAAAGGCGCCAGTGGCACCTTCGGTGGAGCTCCTCATGAGGCCACGAAACGTGCAAGGGGTGTGCCGAAATGGGTGGCCGGGACGCAGGCGAACTGCGCCACTGAGACTTCAGATGGAGCTCCCCATGGGGCCACAAAACGTGTGAGGGTGTGCCGAAATCAATGGCCGGGACGCATGCGAACTGCGCCACTGGGACCTTGGGTGGTGCTCCCCGTGGGGCCACGAAACGTGTGAGGTCTCTGCCGAAATTGGTGGCCCCGACGCATGCGAACTGCGCCAGAAGCACCTTCGGTGGACCTCCCCATGGGGTCACGAAACGTGCGAGGTGTGTGCCGACATGGATGGCTGGGACGCAGGCGAACTGCGCCACTGAGACCTTAGGTGGAGCTCCCATGGGGCCACGAAACGTATGATGGTGTGCCGAAATGAATGGCTGGGACGCACGCGAACTACGCATCCGGGACCTTAGGTGGAGCTGCCTATGGTGCCGAAATGAGCGGCTGGGACGCATGCGGGCGGCGCCACTAGGGCCTTCGGTGGATCTCCCTATGGGGCCACGAAACATATGAGTGGTGTGCCAAAATGGTGGACACGCGGAGAGCAGAGGCGGGGATGGGAGGAGGGAGGAGGAGGAGGAAGAGGAGGAGGAGGAGGAGGAAGAGGAGGAGGAAGAGGAGGAGGAGGAGAGAGAAGGAGAGGAGAGGAGGACACGGGGCGCTGTCTCTTCAAGACTAGGACTCAACACCACAGGATGGTTTGGAAAAATTGGTTATCAAGCGATATCGCCGTTTTCAACAAAGGTCGCCCTACATGAGTGTAAGTGTTGCGCGCCTAAGCTTGAGAACTACAGTATGAAGTCTCGAACAGAACCAAATGCTAAGAAGAATCCGCCCTTCATTATTGTGACTGCCGCACAGATTCAAGGTTCGAACTCCTTCCCCATGTTCCAACTCCTTCGCGCTTCCTGCCTCTCCTCCTCCTCCCCCTCCCCATTGTTGTTCTCCCCCCCTCCTCTGTCGCGCCCCAGGATGTGTCCGCAGGGCGGGCCGGACGCTTCGCACTGAGACCTCCTCACCACCTCGGACCCTGAAAACTTGAAGTGTCAAACAGTTGCACGGGTCTCGCCTGAGCGCCCTGCACACTAGTCTTAAAAGCTCCCCACCGCTACCACAACGGAAGGAGGGGGGGTCAAAACGGGCTCTCACATTGGCGCCGCGCACACTCAGTTAAAAACTTGCAAACAAAGGCGGAGGGCAGTTGGCTCTTAAAATGCCACCTTGACGCCGCAAACATGAATTAAGGCTTGCACCAGTTACACCGATGCAGGCCAGCTCCTGTTTAAAGTGTGGCTCTCGCTTGAAGCTGCCCCAACTTGAACGACCAGACTGTGCAACGTATGTAAGAACGGGCTCCTTTTCAGAGTGAGGATCTAACTTTCCAAACTTCCCATAAAAAAAACATGGCACGAAGCGCAATCTTGCGCAACATCGGCACTGGTGGGGGGGGGGACGGTTATGTTCCAGAACGGGGCTATCGCTGGACACATCGTCAAGCGTTACGCTCATACCTGTTCGCTTTCCGTGTGAGCCGCTAGGGAGGGATGCAGAGCAACTCATCTTGAGAGCGGGACTCTCGGATGAGCACGAGGCCTGTAGGGTGCTCGTTTTTTCAGGGCGAGGCGCTTCCCGCAGCGAAAGAGGATGCTTCTAAGGACTGACGAGGAGGGCCTTGGGAGACGAGGGTGCCTTGCAGCCTCGTTGGTTCATCTTCGGCTTACTCTGGTCTTCCCTCCTCCTCCTCCTCCTCTCCTCCTCCCTCTCCCCCTCCTCCTCCCCCTCCTCCTCCTCCTCCTCCTCCTTCTCCTCCTCCTCCTCACCCTCCTCTCCTCCTCCTCCTCTTCCTCCTCCTCCTCCTCCTCCTCAAACTCCTACTCCTACTCCTCCATCTCCTCCTCCCCCTCCCCCTCCTCCTCCCCCCCCACACTCCCTCCTCACCCTCCACTGAGATCCGACGTTGTGACAAAATTGCAACATCGTCTTGGACCCAGTCCTTCTGCGGCATTTTCGGAGGATCGACCAGCCATGGTTCTGGGGCCCGGAGCTGGGCGAAAACGCCCGGTGCGAAAAAATAGCTACGCCTAGATCTCAGGGACCCTACGCCTCCTCCTCCCTCCCTCCTCCCTCCTCATACTCCTCCCTCCCTCCTCCCTCATTCTCCCTCCTTCCCTCCTCCTCCTCCTCCCTCCCTCCTACCTCCTCCTCCCTCCCTCCCTCCCTCCTCCTCCTCCTCCGCCTCCCTCACTCCTCCGCCCGCCCTTCGCACCGCCCATCGCCGCTCCTTTTTCTCTCTGCCCCCCTATTGAGGGCCGAGGTCGCCCGCCTTCTGCGCGCCGGGGCGTGCCGCCCGCGCGACAGGAGGGCGGTCTACGAGATGGTCGAGCAGAAGACCGCGTGCGTGGACGGAGAGGAGGAGGAAGGAGGCGGAGGAGGAGGAGGAGGAGGAAGGAGGGGGAGGAGGAGGAGGAGGAGGAGGAGGAGGAGGAGGAGGAGGAGGAGGAGAAGGAGGAGGAGGAAGGAGGAGAAGGAGGAGGAGTAGGAGGAGGAGGAGGAGGGGGAGGAGAAGGGGGAGGAGGAGGAGGGGGAGGACGACGACGACGAGAGAGAGCGACGCCCTGGGGCACAGTGCCATGGGGAGGCATCGCAGCACAGAGGCTGCGCATCGGACGCCTAGCAGCGAGCCGAGTCTGCGCCACTGACCCTGGCGGACTCACGAGCCAGCCACCTCGCCGATCCTGGCCAGGCCAGTCCTGGGCGCAGAAAAGACGAGGCCAGGACGAAGATAAAATCGGGCGAAGATACATCGAGAATCTCTGAAATCCGGTGGCTCTGGAGGATGATTCGGGCGCCGCGACCTTCTCAGAGCGTTCTGGAACGCTCTGAGAGCTTTCCGGAACCTTCTGGGACGGATTCATCCTCGTCCTAGCCCCATCCGAAAGGGGCCTGGCCATGATGGATGAGGTGGGCAGCCAGTGTGAGACGGCGGTATGGGCCCAAGTGAGGCGACGGTGAGCCCCCACTCCAGATGCGCCATACTCTGGTTGCTTCTCCGACTTAGCATTGTGTCGGAAGTGCACCCTGGACGACGTGAAGAATTAGAGCGGAGATTTCCGCCTCAGAAAGATCCGCCACTGTGCCCTTGAGGCACGAATTGGAGTGTCCCCAGGTCCTTGGCCTGACCCCAGAAGCCCCAGTCCTCAAGCCTGAGGGTTCTGTTTAAAGGCCCAGACCCCGAATTGCCAAATCTCCTGGGGCTCCCAGCGTGCCTCCTGGGCCTTCCCGCTTGCTGGGGCCTGTTGTCGCATGACTTTTTCTTGCCCGTGAGGGCCCCAAGATGGGCCAAGAGCGCCTCAAGAGGCCACCAAGACGATCCAAGGGGCCCTCGAATCGCTGAACCATCGATCCAAGAAGGAAGACGGCTTCCAGACGGCCTATGAGGTTGCCAAGGGGCCTCAAGAGAGCTCCAAGAGCACTCTCAAGAGAGCTCCAAGAGCTCCAAAATCGGAAGTTCTCCTTGGGGTTTCTAGAAATTGCCACGTTTCTGCCTGTTCGTCTTTCCGAAGCTCCAAGACGGCCTGAGAGGCTCCCAGGACCACCCCAAGAATGCCTAATAGGCCACCAAGAGGACTCCAAGCCGGCCCAAGAGGGCGCAAAGACAGCCCAAGAGGCGCCCAAGACGGCCAAAAGCAGCCTCCAAACGGCCCACGAGCTACGTAAGAGGGGGAACAGGAACCGAAACTCCAGGCTCTTCGCCCCAAGAGCCCCCCGGAGGCCCAAAGAGGCCCCCCCGAGAGACCGCAGGAGGCCCCCAGCGGGCCCCAAGAGGACTCCAGGAGCCCAAGCGGCCCAAAAGAAGCCCCAGGAGGCTCCAAACGGGCCCCCAGGAGGCGTCAAAACTGCCTCGAAGAGGCCCCCGAGAGGCCCCCCACGAGATCCACGAAGCCCCAATCACGCCCGAAGAGGGGCCCGAGAGGGGGAACCCCAAACCACAGTTCGAGCTCTCATTCGACTCGAATAGAACTTGCTTGATACCACTTGGGTCATACGTTCCGCTTGCTTTGGTGCAACGGCATGCATACAGACGATATCATGCAAGCTAGTGGTATTTGCTTGGTGCAGATGAAGACACACAGACGATGTGGCAAGAGAGGCCCCCGAAAAACGCCCCTAAGAGATTCCAAGAGGCCTCCAAGAGGCCCCAAGACGTCCCCAAGAGGCCCTAAGAGGCCCCAGGAGGCTCCGAACTCGCCCCAAGGAGGCGTCAAAACTGCTGCCAAGAGGCCCCCGAGGAGCCCCCTCCGAGATCTCAACGAACATCCGAGAAGCCCCAATCACGCCCGACAAGGGGCCCGAGAGGGGGGGAACACCAAGCCACAGTTCGAGCCCTCATACAACTCGAATGGAACTTGCTTGATATCACTTGGGTCATACAGTTCGTTTCCTTTGGTACAACTTCATGCATACAGACGATATCATGCAAGCAAGTTGTGTATTTGCTTGGTGCAAATCGACACATACAGACGATGTGGCTTGAGAGGCCCCCGAAAAACGCCCCTAAGAGATCCCAAGAGGCCTCCAAGAGGCCCCAAGACGTCCCCAAGAGGACTTAAAGAGGCCCAAAAGAGGCCATAAGAGGCCCCAAGAGGCCCTAAGAGGCCCCAAGAGGCCCTAAGAGGCCCCGAACCTGCCCCTAGGAGGCGTCAAAACTGCTGCCAAGAGGCCCACGAAAGGCCTCCAACGAGATCCCCGGGAACATCCAAAAAGCCCAAATCGTACCCGAAGAAGGGCCCAGAGGGGAGACACGAAACTGCAGTTCGAGCTCTAATATGGCTCAAGTGGTACGTGCCTGGTACCACTTAGGTCACATGGTTTGCCTCAGGTGGCGTTTGGTGTTTGGTACTTGGTGGGTACCAAGTCAGGCATACAGAAGATATAACTCAAGTGGCGCCAGTTTAATACGACTTGAGGCATACAGACGGTTTGCCTCAAGTGGTACTTGCTCGAAGCAGACGGGCGCCACGACTTTACTCGTACTGGCTTGGTACCACCGGAGGCATACGAGCGATATGGCGACATGCCTCAAGTGTTCCTTGCGTAGTACCACTTGACGCATGCAGACGGAATGTCTCAAGTGGTACTTGCTATATCTGAAGTGGCGCTCGCCTGGTACCACTTCAGAGTTGGTTGAGATGGTACCACGCCAAACCACAAGCAGCTCTTGCGTGGTACCATTTGAGGCTTGGCACCATTTGAAGCATACAAGCGATAGATGAAACAAGTGGCACTTGCTTGGTGTCTTGGTATCGCTTGAGGCACACAGACGATATGCTTTAAATGGTACTGCCTTGGTACCGCTCGAGGCATGCGAGACAATGATATAAATATATATACATATACCTATATATATATATATACAATACAAATAGATGCATATGTGTTTAAAAACATACATATATACACATCTACAAATATACATATATATATATATGTGTAATGGACAGCCACTCAGCACCCGTTCTAAACCTTCTTCCTTTCCGCGAGGCCGCTGGAGTCGTGCCGCTCCCCTCCTGTATCCCTTCCCTCTCAACGCCCCTTCTTCTTGTTCGCGGAAGCCTTCCCCCGCATCCGCTAACGGCACACTTTCCATAAGCGCCAACGCGACAGATGCAAGCGTCTGTTTCCTCTACATAAAGGCGGAACAAGCGTGTGAGCCATCCTATAGACGAGAAATTAGCAACCCCTGTGATTTCACTTGGATTCCTGGGATTTCTGTGATGCTAATCAACGGAACCCTTTGGTTTCAATGGGATTCCAAGGATTTCTGTGATCTCGTACCCTGGAGGAGGAAAAAAGAACAAAACAAAACAAAAAACAAATCAAAAACTTGGGATCCCCAGGAGGTTCAAGGCTCAGAACCCATGGAACCCAAATGAAATCACAAGGTTCGAGACGTCAGTGACGCGCAAACCTTGCGATGTGATTGGGATCCCTAGGATTTCTGGGATGCTAATCAACGAAACCTTGTGCTTTCACTTGGATTCCTATGGCTCCAGGAATTTCATGCCATGGAGCAAAACCAATCTTGGGATCCCCAGGAAGGCCAGGGCTCAGAAACCCCAGGGATCCCCATGACGTCACAGGTTCGAGACGTCGGTGATGCGCAAACCCTCTGATTGCATTGGGATTCCTTGGATTTCTGGGATGCAAATCAACGAAACCCTGCGATTTCAATGGTATTCCATGGCTTCCTGGGATTTCATACCCTGGAGCAAAACCAACCTTGGGATCCCCAGGAGGCCAAGGGTTCAGAGTCCCAGGAACCCAAATGGAATCACAAGGTTCGAGACGTCGGTGAAGCGCAAATCCCATGAGTTCGTTGGGATTCCTTTGGTTCCCGGGACGCAAATCAACGAAAGCCTGCATATTCACAAGGATTCTTGGGATCCCTGGGATTTCATACCCTGGAGCAGAAACAACTTTGGGATCCCCAGGAGGTCCACGGCTCAGAACCCGAGGAATCCATATGAAATCAACGAAACCCTATGCTTGCACTGGGATTCCTGGGATTTCTGGGATTCTTGGGATGTCGCACCCTGGATCAAAACCAACCTTGTGATCCCCAGGAGGTCCAGGGCTCAGAACCCCAGGAATCCCGATGAAACCAAAAGGTTCGCGACGTCGGTGATGCACAAACCCTATGATTTCATTGTGTTTCCTGGGATATCTGGGATGCTAATTAACGAACCCCTGCGATTTCACTGGGACTCCTGGAACTCCTGGGATTTCATCACACCCTGGAGCGAAATCAACCTTGGGATCCCCAGGAGGCACACGGCTCAGAATCCCAGGAATCGCGATGAAATCCACATGTTCGCGACGCCGGTGATGCGCAAACCATGTGATTTCAATGGGCTTCCTTGGATATCGGGGGTGCAAATCAACAAAACCCTTTTGATTTCATTTGGATTCCTGCGATTCCTAAGATTTCATACCCTGGAACAAAGACAACCTTGGGATCCCCAGGAGGTCCAGGGCCCAGAATCCAAGGCATCCGAATGAAATCACAGGGCTCGCGACGTCGGTGGTGCGCACACCCTACGATTTCACTTGGATTCCTGGGACTCCTGGGATGCGAATCAACGAGACCCTGCGATATCACTGGGCGTCCTGGGTCTTGGGATTTTCAACCCTAACCTTCTGTGACCCCAGGGCGTGCTTTGTTTTCGCCCCAGGGTATGAAATCTCTTGAATCCCTGGGATCCCAATGAAATCACAGGGTTTCGTTAATTAGCATCCCAGGAATCCCAGGAATCCAAATGAAATCACATAGTTTGCACATCACCGACGTCGCGAACCCTTTGATTTCATCGCGATTCCTGGGATTCTGAGCCCTGGACACCCTGGGGATCCCAAGGTCAATTTGCTCCAGGGTGTGAAATCCTAGGATTCCCAAGAATCCCCATGAAATCACAAGGTTTCGTCAGCTTGCATCCCAGAAGCCCGAATAATCCAAATGAAATCACAAGGTTCGCGCGTCACCGACGTCTCGAACCTTCTGATTTCACTTGGGTTCATGTGATTATGAGCCCTGGACTTCCTGGGGATCCCAAGGATGGTCTTGCTCGAGGGCATGAAACCCCAGGAATCCCAACAACCCCAGTGAAATCAAAGGGTTTCGTTGATTAGCATCCCAGACATCCCAGGAACCCAAATGCAACCACAAGGTTTGCGCATCACCGACGTCGCGAACCCTTTGATTTCACTGGGAGTCCTGAGATTCTGAGCCTTGAACCCCTGGGGATCCCAAGGTGGGGTTTGCTCCAGGGCAAGAAATCCCAGGAACCCCAGGAACCCCAATGAAATCACATGTTCCCGTTGATTATAGCATCCCAGAAATCTCAGGAATCCCAACGAAATCACAGGGTTTTCTGACTTCTCGCCTACAGGATGGCTCACAAGCCTGTTCCCCCTCTATGTAGAGGAAACAGACGCTTGCATCTGTCACGTTGGCGCTTGTGGAAAATGTGCCGCTAGCGGATGCGGGGGAAGGCTTCAGCGAACAAGAAAAAGAGGCGCGGAGAGAGAAGGGTACAAGAGGGGAGCGGCACGACTCCAGCGGCCTCGTGGAAATGAAGAAGGCGTAGAATGGGTGCTGGGGGGGGCTGCCATATATCCGCCACCACGACCTGAGGCACGAGTTGGAGTGTCCTCGAAACCTTGGCCGAATCCCTCAAGCCTCAGTCCTCAACTGAGGTTTCTTCAAGGGACCCAAACTCCAAATTCGCAAGTCTCTTCGGGCCTGGCGCGTGGCTCCTGGGGCTCCCGGAGTGTTGTCGCATGCTCTGTTCACGCCCAAGAGAGCCCAAAGATGGGCCAAGAGCTCCCCAAGAGGCCCCCAAGACGGTCCAAGGGGGCTCCGAATCGCCACACTATCGGTCCAAGACGCCCAAGATGGCCCCACGACGGCCCAAGAGGATCTCGAGGCGCCCAAAAAGCCACAAGGGCCTTCCCAAGAGGGCCTCAAGAGGCCAAATTACTGATGTCCCTAACGTTTTTGAATGCTTCGGGGGTTCTCCGCTTGTCGAGCTTCCGACGCTCCCAGACGGCCCACGACGCCCCGAAGACTGCCCCAAGACAGCCCAAGAGGCCCCCAAAAGGACCTCCTCAAGACGGCCCAAGAGGGCTCCAACACGGCAGCAGAGGCGCCCAAGACGACTCAAGAGAACGAAGACAGCCCCAAGAAGGGCCCAAGAAGAGGAACACGAACCGAAAAGCCAAGTCTTCCGCCCCAAAGGGCCCAAGGCAGGCCCCAAGAGGCCGCAAGAAAGATGCCCCGAGAGGCCCCCAAGAGGTCCCCAAAACACCCCAAGAGGCCCTAAAGCGGCCCGCAAGAGGCTCCAAAACAGCCCCCAAGAGGCCGCCGAGAGGCCTCCCACGACATCCCAGCGAACATCCCAAAGGCATATGACCCACAAACCAGGCGCGGTGGCGGGATGGGCCGAAGGCCATTCGATCCGCCGCCCCCTGTCGATTCATCGCAGGGGTGCCTGGCGTGCTAGATCCTATCGGTTTTGATTTTGGTTCTTCATCCAAAAGAACTCCCCCTGGGGTTCGGCCCGTCCCGCCAAGCCCCCCCAAGACCCATAAAACGCCCAAGCCATCGCCCAATTCCCGAATGCTCCTCCAAGACGGCTCAAGGTGGCCTCCAAGATGGCCACGTTGGCCTAAGATGGCCTCCAAGATGGTCCCAGATGGCCTCCAAGTCCGCCGAAGATGGTCCAAGACGGCCTCCAAGACGGCCTCAGAGAGTCCAAGATAACCCCAAGTTCGCCCAAGAAGCCTCCAAGACGCCTCCAAGTCGGCCCAAGAGGCTTCCAAGAGGTCCTCCAGGAGGGCCCGAAGAGGCCAAAATTAATGATGCTCCTTAGATGTTTGAAGGATTTTGGAATGTGCGTCGTCTCGGCATTCCGACGGCTCAAGACGGCCCAAGAGGCGCCCAAGATCGCCCAAGAGGCCCCCAAGAGGGCCCCATGTCGGCCCAAGAGGCCCCCAACAGGGCCCCAAGAGGGCCCCAAGACGGCTCAAGAGGCCTCCACTCCAACACGCCCAAGATGGCCTCCAAGACGCCCAAGATGGCCTCCAAGACGGCCCCGAAGCGCCTCAAGAGGGCCCCAAGTCGGCCCAGAAAGGCCCCCAAGACGGCTCCCGACGGCGTCAGACGTGCCAGGAACCCACCAAGATGGCCGAAGGTGGCTCGAAGCTGGCCCAAGACGGCCCAAGAGGCCTCCAAGAGGGCCTCCAGGAAGGCCAGAAGAGGCCCTAACATATATTTGCCATAGGTGTTTGAAGGAGTTTGACATTTACTTGTGTTCGGCCTTCCGACGGCCCGAGACGGCCCAAGAGCCCCTAAAGATCGCCCAAAGATCGCCCAAGAGGCCTCCAAGATGGCCTCAGAACGGCCCAAGAGGGCCCCAAGACGACCCCAAGAGGCCCCCAAGACGGCCCAGGAGGCCTTTAAGACGCCCAAGATGGCCTCCAAGACGGCCCTGGAGAATTCCAAGAGGACTCCAAGTCGGCCCAGAGAGGCCCCACAAGCGGCTTCCGACGGCGTCAGACGGACCAGGAGCCCACCAAGACGGCCGAACATGGCCCTAAGATGGCCCAAGACGGCCCAAGAGACCTCCGAGAGGGCCTCCAGGAAGGCCCGAAAAGGCCCGAATCATTGATTTCCCATTGGTTTTTTGAAGGATTGTGGCATTTGCTTTTTGTTCGGCCTTCCGACAGCCCGAGACGGCCCAAGTGCCCCGAAAGATCGCCCAAGAGGCCCAAGACGGCCCCAAGAGGCCCCCAAGACGGCCCGAGAGGCCTCCCAGACGCTCAAGATGGCCTCCAAGACGGCCCAAGAGCCCTCCAAGACGTCCTCCAAGAAGGCCCGAAAGGGTAAAAATGGCCTCGAGACGGCCAAGATGACCTTCAAGATGCCCACGTGTTCCCCGAAGGCTTTCAAAACCGATTCGGAGAACACATGGTCCGAGAGCTTGGCAGGTCTGGCCTCAACGTTCGGCCACACAGGCACTTCCAAAAAGGCAGGGGGCGGCGGTGATTCGCCGTAGGCGTCTTCGATAGGGCGGCTGTTTCCGCGTGACCGACTTTGCAGACGTGCTGCAGCGGATTCTTGCGTGGATTCTGTCAATACAAAGCCCCGAAACAGCGAGTGAAAAACGAAGTGGATTTCACGTGGATTGCATTTAGTCTTCATTCCTGTCCAAAAAATCCGCACGAAGATCAGTTCGAAATCCAAAACGACAATCTCCAGGACAATCCGGGCCCATCCCAGTGTTTTCCGAACGAAATCCGCTCTGCGATTTTGGCGCCATGAAGCATGGCGGAAACGGCGACAACAAAGCAGGGCGGAAATCGACATCGCAGGAGCTTGGAAAGTAGAGCGGGAATCCCCGCCGCACTGACACAATCGCCCAGGGTAGGGCACATCCAGAGGCAGGGCCCCTGAACCTCTTCCCCGCTAACGTTGTCGCTTGTATTTCGGGCCATGCAGTGGAGGCCAGTCCACAAGAAACCTTCCACAAGAAACTCAACCCTGAGACCCCAGGACGTCCATGGATTTCTGGTGTGGGAACGTCACGTGTTCTCATAGCAGACAAAAACATCGAAACTCAAGAAACCCAGGGCACCCTGGAGGCAAGCAGGGTGTTTCTTGGCATGGGTCTCCACTGTAACTCGGCTCTCCGGCGACCGTTTGGGACGATCTGGTCACCCCCGGAACGCCCTCGGCGAGGTGCAGCCACTGGAACACATCCCCAGGCCGGAAAGCCGTCGAGAACGTGCGAGAACGCCCGGAAGTCTCGAACCTCGAACCTCGATCAGGAGGCACGGGAGGGCAAAGGGGAGACGCCGGTGGAAAATTCTCCGCGCCGATGCCCCGAGAGCGCGGGACTGGCCCTGCCGGCGCGGCGCGGGCCAGCGCGTTGCGGGGCTGCGCGCGGACCTCGGCAAGCGAGGGGGGGGGAGGGCCAGGCGGCCGTCAAGACAGCTGGCCGGGCCGCAAGGGGGCTGGGCGGGCCCCGAGCCCTACCTACACCGTCGCCCCCCTTTTCCTGCCTCCCCCAGCCTCGTTCCTCCTCCTCCTCCTCCTCCTCCTCCTCCACCTCCTCCTCCTCCTCACTATCCTCCTCCTCCTCCTCCTCCTCCTCCTCCTCCTCCACCTCCTCCTCCTCCTGCTCCTCCTCCTTCCTCCTCCTCATTTTCCTAATCTTCCTAATTACCCTGCCTACCTACCCCTCCCACCTCAAACAATCCTGATCCTCATCCTCATCCTCATCCTCGTCATCATCATCAACATCAGCAGCAGCATCAGCATCAGCATCAGCATCAGCATCAGCATCAGCATCAGCATCAGCATCATCATCATCATCATCATCATCATCATCATCATCATCATCATCATCATCATCATCATCATCATCATCATCATCATCATCATCATCATCATCATCATCATCATCATGATCATCATCAACATCAGCATCATCATCATCATCATCTTCATCATCAGCATCATCACCATCAGCATAATCCTCATCATCATCATCATCAGCAGCATCATCATCGTCATCAGCATCATCATCACCATCATCATCATCATCATCATCATCATCATCATCATCATCATGAGCATCAGGATCATCACCATCATGATCGGCATCATCAGCATCATCATCACCATCATCATCATCATCATCATCATCATCACAATTATCATTATCAACATCATCATCAGCATCATCGCCATCATCATCATTATCATCACCACCGTCACCATCACCATCGGCACCGTCATCACCATCATCATCATCATCATCATCATCATCATCATCATCATCATCATCGTCATCAACATCAGCATCATCATCATGATCCACATGGTCATCATCGTCATCATCATCAGCAGCAGCATCATCACCAACATCATCATCCTCATTATCATCAGCATCATCATCAGCATCATCGTCATCATCGTAATCATCACTATCATCACTGTCATCAGATTCATCAACATCGTCGTCATCGTCATCATCATCATCATCGTCATCATCATCACCACCATCATCATCATCATCATCATCATCACAAGTAGCATCATCATCATCAGCATCATGATCGGAATCGTCATGGTCATCGTCATCATCATCAGCATCATCATCATCGTCGTCATCAGGATCAGCAGTATCAGCATCAACATGATCATCGTAATCATCATCATCATAACATCAGCATCATCATTACCACCGTCGTCATCAAAATCATCATCCTATCTATCATCATCGTAAGCATGATCATCATCATCGCCAGCATCAGCATCAGCATCATCAGAACCATCATCGTCATCGAAATATTCATCATCACAACCATCATCATCATCATCATCATCATCGTCAGAATCATTAGCAGCTGCATGGTCCTCACAATCATCAGCATCACCATGATCATGATCATAATAATCATCATCAGCGTCATCATCATCAGTATCGTCATCAGAGGTGTCAGCATCATCATCATCATCATCATGATCATCGTCTTCTTCAGCATTATCATATTTACTATCATCTTCATCCTCCTTTCCTTCTTCATAATCATCGTCATCACCACCCTCATCATCACCACCATCATCACCACAATCAGCATTATCATCGCCGTCGACATCAGCATCGTCAGCATCGTCGGCATCACCAATATCGTCATCACCAACTCCATCATCATCATCATCATCATCATCAGCATCGTCATCATCATCATCATCATCATCATCATCATCATCGTTATCATTATCACAATCATCATCAGCATCAGCATCAGCATCAGCATCAGCATCAGCATCATCACCACAATCATCCTCGTCACATCATCATCATCATCGTCATCATCCTCATCATCATAATCAGCATAATCATCAGCAGCAGCATAATCATCGTCGTCATCATCATCATTATCCGCATCATCATCAGCATCATAATCACCATCCTCATCATCACCACCATCACCATCACCATCGGCACCATCGGCAGCATCATCATCATCGTCATCATCATCAGCATGAACCACACGATGATCATCATCAGCATCAGCATCGTCATCACCACCACCACCATCATCATCAGCAGCATCATCATCATCAGCATCATCATCATCAACATCATCGTCATCATCATCACTATCATCACTAGCATCGTCATCAACATCATCTTCATTATCATGATCATCATCATCATCATCATCATCATCATCGTCGTCATCGTCATCTTCGTCACCATCATCATCATCATCACCATCATCATCATCAGCATCATCATCATCAGTCCGTAGCCATTTTGGCTCAAGCCGTGTTCCCCGCTTTCTCCGCAGGCTTTCGCCCATGGTCGGTGGCTCGGCGGCGGCGGCGGGCACGCCTTGGATGGTTGCGGGGGGCTGCCCGAGTGCGCGGCGGCCCAGCGCCTTGCGTGCCGCCAACATCGCTGTCCTCGGCCCGACGGCGGCTCGCCGCGCGGCTCGTCGGCGCCTTCGGGATGTTCTCGATGCTGCTCTGTGCGCACGTGCTTGCGTCGGCGAGCCAGGCTCCTGGCAAGAAAGGGAGCTGGCGGCGCGGCCCGCGCTGAAGCGCCTGTCGGCCGGCGCGGCAGTGCCAGGAGCCACGCGTAGGCGGCGAAACGCGGCCTGGCACGCGGCTCTCGCGCCAGCCGGTGGCTTCGCCGCAGCCGCCGACGACGGGATCGCTTGGGCAACAGCTGGTCCTCGCCTTGGCGCCAGCGCTGCTGCCCCAGGGCCCTCTCGCAGTGCGGCCCCGTGCGACGAAGCCGACTTCTTCGAGCCGCAGGTGGCTGATGGGCCGAGGCTTGGGTTCGCTGCCAGACCAGTGCTGGACGAGGAGGTGGCGCAGGTCGTCTCCATCGGCGTGGCACCGGCTCCTGGCACCTGGGAGGTCCCGCTCGGGGCCCCAGCCTTGCAGGCAAAGGCCTTCGGGGATGGCCTGGAGGCTGGCATGCGCCTCGCGGCCACGCTCCCCGTGCCAGGCCTTGCCGAAAACCAGGAGTTCGTCGAGCAGCATTGCGGCGTGGTCGCGAGCGCGGTGCCCGTCGTGGAGCACGTGTCTGACACGTTCCTCCGTTCTTTCGGCACGGCCTGGGAGCCGCAGTTTGGCGCTGCGGATGTCGGTGGTGGTGTCCTGCAAGCTGCTGCTCGGGGAGCCGCAGAATCTTTGGGTGTGGGAGACTCTGTGGCCGATGTGGAGCCACGTGTACCCAGCAGCTCATGGACATCGACGGGATTGCCACATGCCCCTGGAGAGGGCCTGCTTTTCCAAGGGCTGCATGGCGGCCGCTCCATTCTCGACGACCGTGGGAGCGATCTCTCGGGCCTCGATTGTGTCAGTGTTGTCTCGTCTTTCGTTGATGCCTTCGAGTAGGTATGATATCCGCGCGAAATTCCTCATCCCGTGCCTGGAGCGGTCCATCTCGTCCTGCTGTTTTTTTGTTTTTCTTGTTCGGGGAGCTTCCTGATGCTGCACGTGGCTAGGGGCTTTCTGGTATTGCATGTGGCTCCCGCTCGAGGGCTTGTACGCGCTGGTCTGTTTCTGGTTGCTGGGTGAGGTCAATTTGTTCGTGTTTGATGTCTTCGTCGGCATCGGCCTCGTCGTGCTCATGGAGTTCGTGGAGGTTCCAGGCCAATCGATCCTCAGTCGGCCCAGGTGATTATGAGGCATTGGCGTTGCTTTAGCAAGCTCTAGACATGCAGTTTGCGGTTGTGCTCAAATCATAATCATCATCATCATCATCATCATCATCATCATCATCATCATCATCATCACCATCATCATCATCATCATCATCATCATCATCATCATCAGCAGCAGCAGCAGCAGCAGCAGCATATTCTTCATCATCATCATCATCATCATCATCCTCATCATCATCGCCATCCTCATCACAAGTGTAGCATCATCATGATTGGCATCGTCATGGTCATCGTCATCATCAGAATCATCATCATCGTCGTCATCATCAGCAGCAGTATCAGCATCAACATCGTCAGCGTAATTATCATCAGAGCATCAGCATCATCATGACCGCCGTCATCATCAACATCCTCATCCTATGTGTCGTCATCGTAATCATCTCCTCCTCATCATCATCCCCCAGCCGCCCGAGCTTCTCCACGCGGATGAGATTGCCTGGCACTTCTGGAAACGGTTGGGGGGGGCCTTGGGAGGAGCTCACACGGAGGCGGGGGTCAACCTACTACCCTCGTCAAAATTAACCCCAAAAATCGCAGACATGCCCCTTCGAGGTCGGCGCGCCATTCAGCGTCGATACGACGACCCTCCATTGTCGGGGACAGGGCGCAGGTGGTCTGACCGGGAGCGAGTCAGAAGTTCGATGATGACCGACACTGGAGGGGCGGCACATACAAGTACCTCACACTCATCACTACTCAGACAACAATCTTCCCGCACACAATTCAGCAAACAAAGACATTTTCGAAATCCGCCGACCCTGTCGGCGTGTGTGAGGGGCTTCTCCGTTCGACTCGTCGTCTCCGTCGTCTCCGTTCTGCCCCTCCCAGGGCTCTCCTCCTCAAACGCGCTATCCAAAGCGAAATTAAACGACGTCGTAGTGGAGTCGAAGGGAAGCCCCTTCCCTTTGATCCCTTCCCCGCAGGGGGGGGGGGGGCCAGGGCAGATACGACGCCCGCCGGGGCGCACTTTCCTCGAGCGGGCACGCACGGGATGCACTTCCTCCTCCTCCTGGTCCTCCTCCTCATCCTCCTTTTCCTCCTCCTCCTCCTCCTTTTCCTCCTCCTCCTCCTCCTCCTCCTCCTCCTCCTGCTCCTCTCCTCCTTCTCCTCCTCCTCCTCCTCCTCCTCCTCATCCTCATCCTCATCCTCATCCTCCGCTTCCTCCCCCCACTCCTAGCCCTTTCGATCAGGGTCGGCGGC